TGGAGAGATTTCATAAAAAAAATAAAAAATAAAATAAAATAAGGGTGTGGCATCACACTATCCATTGATGTCCCTGAAAAATATTGTGAATCATGGTCAGCCTTACAACCTAAAGTGATAGAACTGTCAGAAAAGCAGGCAAGTACATGGCTTTTTGGAAAATCCACACAAAGTCCTGTTTGCAGTTCTTCCAAAATCTGTGGAGGGAACTCAGCAAACGTGGAAGAAAGCAGGACATGTTTGCTGGACAAAACAAAACCTTTGGGCCATATGAAAAATGCTTTGTGTGGCAGAAAACTAACACTATTCATCACCCTACAAAGTGATGACATCAAGGGCAGAGTGAAAATCCGTGCCACACTTTTAGAATTTTTATTCCTGAAACCTTCTGTAAAAAAAAAAAAAAAGGTTCTGATCAAACTTGCCTTTTAGATAAATATGTGCCACACACAATCCCAATAGTTGGAGGTTGTTATGTGACAAAGCGTGGGTTTTGTTCCTAAGATGTCTAGTCATAAAAAAAAACTGTGAGGCGTTCCAAAAGAAAACAGAAAATGTTGTATGAAAATGTTCTGTATGAAATGTCAATATGAGTTTTTCTTTGAAACTCTCAAACTAACTCTATGCCTATCATGCACAAAAAAATTTTTATTTTTCAAAGTTCTTTGGTAAGACTTTAACAACTTTTAGGGTTAGTTTTTCCTATGCCTTTGCCCAGCTTGTATGCAGGAACTGAAATTGTTGCTAACTTTAAACTAAACTTTGTTATGATCTCAGGATCAGGTGCACATCTTCCTATTTCTCACCACATGCACAAAATAAGCAAATTATTCATTGGGCCTACAGTGTCTGTAAAAATGCTCACAGAATTATTACTCCAGTTGCAACCTGCACCTGGTCTGATAAATACAGACACAAGCAAAATGTTTTGTTTATTTATTTATTTATTTTTTTCATATGACATCTGCGTTGTGCAATTCAACCTTGTAGATATTTTAAGCCTGCTATAAGTCAGAGTTGTCAGAGTCAAATTTAAGGTGAATCACAATGTTTTCTAACCCCACACAATGAATGTAAATAATTCAGTACAGTGGAAAACAAAATAGCGCGTGAAATATAATGACGTGCTTCCCTACCTGAGCTGTGTTCAAATTGATATTGTGGGCTAAAACTACATTCCCCAAAGATTAATTAAAAATTTAACCTGTTTTCATTTAGAACAGTCTTTTAAATGTTTACACTCTACTTTACATAACTAATATCTATTCATCTTTCCTTGGTGTGCAAAAATAAAGTGATGTCTGTCAGTGCATCTTCCTTATATTGTGTCTGAGTTGTTCCTATTTTATTTGAGACTCTGTCCCATAAAGACATGGAAAACACTTTTTTCTATTGTTGGTTCAAAACATCCAGTTTATTCATACCCCCCTTACTCCTTATTTTTCCACATTTTCTTTACAAATAGTGGTTTGTCAAAGACATCTCCTGTGCCCCCGCACTACCCCAGCTGCTCGTCTTTCTTGCTCCTCTTCATTCAGGTAAATTACTTTATCCAGTTGAGTGACTTTGTAGGGAAGCAAGGACAGTGTTTTAGCTGAGCCCAGCAAACGGGGAGAGAAGCAGCAGAGAGATAAAGAAAAGGGGGGACGAGTAAAGATTCATTAGAGGGATTTTTTATAGTTCAGGCACAAAATGTCCTTGCCTTATGCAAAGCAATGACTCACCCTCTTGCTCCATGTGTGAATGACTGGGAGGCCGAAGCCTGACTGCAAACTGGACTTATCAACAAAGCAGTAAAACCTTCTCTCATCTGTGGCAATGCAGTTGCTTTTTGATCTTTTAGATGTTTTTGAATAATTCACAATATGACATAATTTGTATTTTAAGTTTCAAAGGTCATCAACTGCAGAGGGACTTTCTGTTGTTGCAAATGCATCAGTAAGAGAGTCTGAATAAAGTAAAGGGGACAGTGAAGCTCTGCTTTATAGTGCGCTGTTATTGTTGTTTTAAATTGAAGGCTTTACAAAAGCATTTGTACACTTGATATCTTAAAGTTTCAGTGCAAATTTTAAGATATGTTACTGTGATTTTATGACATAAACCAACAGGATGCAAAGTCTGTTTTTCATAAAAAAGAGCTCAAATCGAGTCTTTTTCACTGTTACTTTTTTGGCTACATCCATTTTCCCATCGACTCTGACCAGACTCCTTCATCATGATAAGAACAGTTTTCATTCTACAGCTCTGTTTCAACATGGGAATGCTATTTTTAATGTGATGCGCAGTGCAACCAGGACTTTCTTATTACCACTTAGCAAGGCCAGATTTCAGCATAGCATGAAGAATAGTAGCCCTGTCACTCCACCTGGGCTGCAAATATTTCTGCAAATAACGCAGAGAAACACAACCTTGGATAGCAAACAGCTTATGATTCATATGTCAAAAACAAAAGTGCTGCCTCAACTGAGTAAATATTTCATGTTGACCTTCACTCAATAGAAGCTGCTGATTCTTCATCTGGTCATAATGTTTCTGCAAAGTAAGAGGCTTCATCTGCTCACAGCCTGTCTGTCACTATATAAACTTTGAATAGTCCTTTCATTTCCATCAGCCCGTCTACTACATTACGAGTTTTATCAGGCAAAAACATTACATAAAATCAGAGTTTAATACTTTGTTTTTCGGTTTTGGATTTTCTACTCTGACCAGTAAACTCTGCTCAGTAATCCTTCACACCTACTAAGCAAACTTTTTCATCACAGTCGTTGTTAAGAAGTATTAGGCCTTACAAGTTGATGCTGAAAAAAGTCTGTAGCCTAATGAATCATGTTGCAAAAAACCTTTTTCGGTTTTTATACTGTACATTTATGTCCCTCTCTGAAGACTTGCCAGTGGATGAGCCGTTATAATAGATTAAACCTGCCAATTACTGCCCTCTTGTGGTTAAATGGCGACACTGCAACTATTCAAAGTTCAGTGCAGTATTTATTGTCTGTTTTTGTTTAACATATTTCCTTCAGAATCATGTTATATAATAATGAAACCTCTACCACTGAAATAATCTTTTTGTTCATAAATATTTTTTTATGCAATACAAACGGCAAAGACTTTCAGAAATATATATCTATTGACAAAATCTAATTGCCTTCATTAAAAGCTAAAAGGCCAATTCCCCTTCTCTGTCTTGAGACTAATGTCTTGGTTATTAGTTTAACCTGTAACTAAGCTTTTTAAAACTACAGCAGATATAGATCCACCTTCAGATGTTTTAGAAACTCTTTGACAAAACACTTTCTGTCTTGTTGACGTTGGATCTACACTAACTGGAATTCTGCCCATTTATCATTTAATAGATATAAAAAGAACTCAAAAACCACCGAATTCATGTAGCCTAGCAGTTTGACAATGATGTGAAGTTCTGTATGAAAAGCCAACATAAGTGAAACAGTATTTGTATTATTTTTGTTCATCTGAAACTGCAGATGTACCTGCTTGTTAATGGAGAAGGTGGTCGTTTGGCAATAGAAGCTCATTCATTTCATTCTACATCCCTTCCTATTATTTTACTTTTTTAATTGCAAGAGTGCACAACCTTCTAATGGGTGCAGATGAGATTAATTAGGCTTAAGCTTGAGCTGTAAAAGCTTTGTTTGCTCTAAAGAAGGTCATTAACCAGCATCCTTGGGTAATGACATCACAAATAGGACTCATTAGCAGGGCTCCCAGGAGTCAAAGAGGCAGGAGAGGATCATTTTATCTAGGGTCACTGAGCTCTGTTTGGTGACAAAATGCCCCCCAAGGGAATAGTGTTCATTACCAATGTCATTATTGTTGTTGAGTCATTTCCTAAACAACAACTTTATACAAAGCAGCAAAGTTTCTCTGAGGAGAATAATGAACCAGCCTTGTCTAATGGTGCATGCAATTACTGGGCTCCTATTGTTTTCTTATAACTCAGTGTACAGTCAGTGCTGTAAATATTCAATTTCTATTCTTATATTCTGAACTTGCCATTTTATTGTAATCCAAAGAAGTGAATAGAAAATATTTTACAGAGATTAGTAAAGATGGTATTATTCGATGCCAGAAAACTTTGATTTTCACTCAAGATTTACAGAAAATCCACAATGGGCACAATTTATACATATACATACACATACACATATACAAGATTTGACATCTGGTTTGATATAGATTGGAATTTCTTTTGAATTTTAGTTGGGGTATTGAAACAGCAGCATATGTCAAAATATAAGTACAGTATGCGTTGGGAGTTCACAAGGATAACCAGCAAAATCTTAATGGAAGTCTCTTCTTGTTAAAAGAAAGTGGTACCGCTCCAGTGTTGTCACACTTTCACATCATAGGATGTTCTTGGAATGTCAGCGACTTTTTCCAGTTGACTGGGCAGATTTTACCAATCTGCCTTTACTTAACATCTGAATCTTTTGAGTTGTATTACAAATTGTGTGAATTAGATAGCATGCAACGGAATTTGAATCTAATCTAATTTGAACTACATGTTGACTGAATTGTTTTTTTGTTTGTTTGTTTGTTTGTTTTTACAATTGGACCTGTTTCCAAAGGACATTAATATCTATTATGATTTTTTTAAATATCACACATAAACTACAATTAATTAATAATAAATTAATACCTTTAGTAAGTTTGAAATGTTCAGTTTGAGCTGTTTTAAAGCTTTAGAAGCATTAAACATTTTGTCTAGGACATTAAGCACAATTACAAACTTTCTCAGTTAAAAAACTGACTTAAAATTTGCATTAGTCAATAGTTTGTACAACGGAAACTTGGTCTTAAGGAATTAATGACTTAAGACTTGGCATACTCACACTCTAGACTGTATAGTAAGCATAGAAATGATTGCATTGATAATGTAATTTTCTGAAAATTCTTCAATTCTGGTTTCAAATTCACATTTCGCGACAATATTGTAATGAAATTTCGCTTCGCAGCGGAACCATTGGAACAGAGCATGTTTTCTGGTGACACTTCCGGGTTCTGCGTAAACATGTCCCCTTCCTCTCCTCGTAGTGTAGGTTGGTTATGCAAACACAATGAAGCTTTGCGCTTTATGAAAACGTGCTTTCTGCTCCACAACAGAAGGAAAATGTCCTTGATGAATTGAGCGGGCAAAACAAGAGAGGTATTTTATTTTACTTATTTATTTAATGATTATTATTTAAGCTTTTAAACGCGAGCTTATCGCCTTCCCTTAGTTACTGGATGCAAAACTTTGTGTGAGTAGTAGTTTGTTTCTAAACTTATTGACCGTTCACGTTATGTAGAGCAAAACATTTGTAGTTACAGCTTATTTGTAATAAGAACAACACTAACTGTTCGGCGGAGACCAATCTAAAAACTGAGTCGTTCACAGCTTTAACCCTCTGATGCGTAAGTGGGTCCTTTTTGACCCCGGGAGGTCATCTTTTTGCAATATCTTTGTAATGAAAAGTTTTCATCACTTCATATTCCAGGTATTCCTCAAGAAACATGTTACTGATATCATGCAATTCAAATTTTTAATTTACCTTTTATACATTTTAAGAAATAGCATGTTTTATGTTATTACCCCATTCTTCCGTGAGTGGGTCCAAAATGACCCGCATTCATTTCCTATGGAATTTAATGGGAATCTTGGTTTCTTACCAACTGTGACTGTCAGGAAAACATTTTTTGTGAACCAAACACACTGAGACCTAAGTATCACCGCTGAATAATATTATTTTACACCACAAGAACTCTTACATATAAGTATTATATGTAAGTGTCTGACACCTTGAATGAGAAAACCAAGAGAGAGAATATGTTGAATGACATCCAAAACCTGTTGATCAATGTGTTCAATGTTCTTTCTTTTATCATCTCAATAAATGAAAATACAATAAATGAAATACAAATTCATAGCTATAGAAATAAATGCAT